TTTTTTATGTCATTTGTATTGACTCCTTCCTTCTCGTTGATGCCTATTAGTTTCACATTGTTCATCTTTGCATCGTCTTGCAGGTATTGAATTATTTTTTCCTGCATCCTAGTTGTTTTTAAGAGATCTTTTCTTACTTTTTCACTAGCTACAATGGTGTCTTTAAGGTCAGAAAGTCTGTTTTCACTTTCACTCAAACGGTTTTACCAGCTTGTGATTGAGGTTTTAATTTCCTGTATATCACTTTGAACCTGTTTCATACATTCTGTTTCTTTCCTAAATTGCTTATTAAGGGGTTCCATCATTTTTATATTCTGCTTTATTTTTTTATCAGTGTATTCTTTAGAAGCAGTTAGTACTTCTTTGATTATAGTTATCACTAAATTTTTTAGTTCTGGAATTAACTGATCTGATTTCTTCTATTCCTTTCTGCAGTTGTTTCTTTACTGCCAACATTATTATTTCAGAGATATTTGGTGTGTGATTTCCAGCTTCCTCAGTGCTAGTGTCTCCTGCGATTGTGCTGGGTGGACTTGGGGCTTGAGACTGCATTTTGTTCCTTCTCTTTGTCATTTTGTATACCATGGTCTTTTTACCTTTGCTGTAGAGCTTAGATAGAGTTTCTATCTTAGCACCAGGTCCGGATCTATGAAGCTGAGATTCTTCCAGGTGGGTGTTGCTTGGATCTGGCTGGGGTCTGGCTGCTGAGCTCTACTTCTTCCTGCTGCAGCCATTAGAGGTGAACCCTTTGTGTCACTCTGGCAAAGTGTTCTGCTCCTGAATCAGCTGGGTGGGTCTTGCCTCTAGCCTTTTTACAGGGAGTTCTGCTTAAGGGTTCTGCACTGGGCCTGCACTCTGGGTCGAATGAGGATCTGTTGGCTTTCAGCAGTCTCACTTACTCTCCGGGCCTATGCTCTGGGTCTATTCAGGATCCACGGGCCACAGGTTGTCTCACTCCCACACCGGGCCTGCACTCTGGCTCTATTCAGGGTTTGGCAGGCCAGGATCTTCTCACTCACTGAGCCTGTGCTCCTGGTCTATTCAGGATCCTATGGGACCCCGGGATGTCTCGCTCACTCGCTGCCGGGCCTGCACTCTGGGTCTATTCAGGATCCTGCAGGCACTGGGTCATCTCACTCACTTGCCAGGCCTGTGCTCTGGGTCTATTCAGGATCTGTGGGTCCCAGGTTGTCTCTCACTCACCGTGTCCCAGCTTCTGGCCCTTAAGGTGAGTAGCACTCACACTTATGGACAGGGAACCCATGATTTGAGCATCATATCTTTAATCCCAGCATCACACACCACACATACAACTGCCTCCAAAAACCCTCATGTCTGCATGAGGCTTTTGGAAGGCGTCTATATACAAGCCATATCATTGCAGCCCACACTAAAGTGCCTGCCTCCAGTTCTAACAGATCATTTTCCCATACATCTTGGGGACAGGTTCTTCTGTTTTGCCTTTCTTTCTTTCTTTCTTTCTTTCTTTCTTTCTTCTTTCTTTCTTTTTCTTTCTATTTATGTATTTGGTACAGGGTCTCACTATGTAGCTCAGACTCCTACTGATCCTCCCCTGTGCTGGGATCATAGCTGTGTGTTACCCCATTAGAATTAGAATTACAATAATTCAGGGTTACATAGTTGGTAAACATAGAGCTATTTCTTGAACTAGGCCATCTGATATCAAAGCTATGGATCCTGACTTATGTGCAATTAGATTTTTTTGGTGCCCAACATGATTATTGAACCCTATGCTAAAACTTAGTGATAGAATGATTTGTTCTAATGGTGTTTGTATATAGGATCACAAGTCCGCATCTTGTACAGCAATTAACCACTAAGAAGAATATATGCAGTGTATTATTTGTTGAAACTGTACTTCCGATTTGATTTGAAACTGTCTCATTGCTATCTGTTTATCAATAAAACTTTGAAAAAAATAAAAAAAATAAAAAAATAAAAAGATGTCAATCTAATAAAAAAAAATAAAAACTGCCCAAAAGAAAAAAAAAAGAAAAATACAAACATTGGCTGGCATATTCAGGTTTTAGCCACAACCCAGGGGATGCTCAGTGAAAAAAGAAGCAGTTCCTGCCTGGCTTGGCAGTGGCACTACCTTGAAACGTTGAGTGGGAAAGTTGTCGGTTATGCCACTGGAGATCATTCCTGAGTAAATCCTACTCCGAGGAACTTAAACAAACTAGAATAGACCCACACAGCCTGAACAAGTTGGCCAGAGAACAAAGGAAGACACCTAAAATGTGCTTTGTGCATAGAAGACACCAGAGACACAGAGGAGCTGACTGTGGGGATCTTCATTGTAGGTAGCATGACATGAGAATTCTGTTTGTGAAGACAGGAAATTTAATAGGGGACAATGGAGAAAACCTGAGGAAGATTATTTTAGTTAAATAAAAACAAGTCCTGAGCAGGATCATTATGTAGTGAAGATTGTAACCAAAGAGCTGGTTCTGGATATCAAATTTGTCATGTTGTAGTTCAGAGATCTGCAAACTTTTCCTGAGCCTCAATTTAATCTACAAGATGAAAATAAGTTATTCTGAGAACTAAGACATTGTGAAACAGGTTAGTATTATAATACAGATAACTGTTCCATAATAAATGTCTTTCTTGTCTCTCCCTTTATAAGTCATACTGCACACCCAGAACTGGCTTCCTTTCTTGGAATAATTCCCCACAACTGGGCTGTAAGTTGAAGTCCTGTTGGTGGGGAAATTATGTCACAAACAGCAGTGTTAGCATAATTTGAGATCTGAGGGTCTCCTATGTCCCTGCACATTTAACATTCTATAACTATAGGATTTTGTTACAGAATTTTCCAAACTATGACACGTTACAGAATCCTTGTCAGGAGAGGCAGGTTATTGGGAGTGTGACCTGGTAGGATATGTCTTCATCTCTCCTTCTTTTATTTTTTTCCTTCTTCTCATAATGCCATCAGCTGCTTCTCCTCTACTATGCACCTCTGTCATGCCATGCTGCCTTGGAGCCACCTAATCATGGACTGAAACCTCTACAAGTTATGAGCCAAAACAACCCTTTCTTCCTTAAATTGTGGATGTGAGGTATTGAGACAATCAGAAGCGATGCATCACTCTGCTCATGGAAGTGATTCCTTAGGACTGGAACCTCTCCTAGCACACTTTTCTAGGATGATCTCAAAGACAAAAACAAAGGCTAAGAGTGCCTAATTACCTTTGGCAGGTGGTATCCACCCAAAGTGGTATCAACAGCCACTTCCCTGGGAGCATTCACAGGAATGATGTTGCCCATTCTCTGTACCTCATGGATGACAGCATTGGTATAGGGCATGGACTCTCGGTTGGCCAAGCTTGGCTGCTGTTTCTGGCCAACAACTCTGTCAATCTCAGCATGTACTTTTTCTGAAAGAGATGGGAGGAGGGTTCAATTATTTCTTAAAATTTTATGATTTCTTGTATAGACATGGGAATGGTCTCTCAGAACTTACTTGTAACTAGTGTCTGTCTATAAATCAACAAAGTGAACATTATCCTTATAGGGATTATTTAGAGAACTGCTAATGCTCTAAATTTCCTTAAGCCTAGGTGGCATAAGGAATTGGATGTGCACAGCTAAGTTCAGAGTAGGGTCAATTCTCACTGAGGCTGCTACAATAAAGTTCCTTAAAGTGGCTGTTTACAAACCACAGAATTTTATTTCTCAGTTCTGTAACCTGGGAAATCCGAGCTCAAATCTCCAACAAGCTTAGCATCTGGTAGGGTCATATTCTCACTCATAGATTGTAGCTTCTTGCTGTATGCTGACATGTGGCAAGGTGCAATACAGGGCTCTGAAATCTCTTCTTCCACTCATGAGAGCTAATCATACCGGAGGTCCCCACCTTCCAATACTATCACATTTTAAATGAGGTTTCAACACATGTATTTTGAGCATAGGACATAAACCCTCAGATACAGCAGATCTTAACTTCATAAGGACATAGAGAAGTCAAAGGTGAACAATAAATTTTGTTTTACATTACTGCTGCAAACTACTAAAAATCTTTTAGTCTCAATTTCTTTGCCTCTTTTATTTTTGAGATTCTTTGAGATTTACCTGAATTGGTTTAAGTGAGTATCCAAAAGAAGATTGTGGTGGATTAACCAATGGTCATCTTGTAACATGCAGTTGCACCTAATCAGAGTAGTTTGGGGTGTGGAAGTTCCACCTGAGGATTGTTGCCAAAAACATAAAAGGAGAAGGGGAGGGGAAGGTAGTGTGCTGACGATTCTTTTGTAGAAGCTTGCCATGTTGGATTTCCTGATATGAACTTGCATGTTCTTACCAATGGAGGAGTGCAAGTCCTCATTGTTTCTGAGGATGGCTACAGCTCTCTTTGTGAGTGCTCTGGTCCTTACTTTGAACATCACTTCCTGGCTCCAATGCAGATCCCTCGACCTGGCATAGATCCTTCATTCTACTGGTGCAACTTTCTGGCTTCTATCACTGATCTTTGATCACTGACCTTCCAAGTGTAGATCTTTGATCCATACTACTATCCTGGATAGAATGAATAAAGGAAGGAGAAAGAAGCATGCTCATTCTGGAAGAGCTCAAGTCTCTGCCTTTGCCTTTGGATAGGTCTCCAATTTCTTCAGCTTTCCAGTGCAGACTTATCCAGTGACTCTAGTCACTTTGGGCTCCTAGTCTGATTTTTTTTTCTTTTTTTCTTTTTGGTTGAACCAGGGATTGAACTCAGGCCCTTGTGCTTGCCAGTGAAGCTCTTATTCCACCGAGCCATCTCCCCGGCCCCAGTCCTTTGATTTTTGATGGTTGTTTGTCCTTCATTCTTCCTGTTGTGAGGCTTCCATCTTCTTGGGTTGAGCAGATACTTGACCCTCTGATTTTCCAGCTTACAGATGGTCACTGTGGGTTCTTCTGCATCTGATCCTTTAATCCTACCTAGTAAACCCCCTTGGAAATTTTGCATATTTTTTATTGATTCTCTTCTCTTGAGAACCCTAATGCAACATCTGAACTCAGAAGGTTCAAACTTTTTCTAAAAATGTAATCCTAGATGGAAATGCATTTCCATCATAATCCAATATGTACATACATAGATGAATACATAAATAAAGAATAAATTTAAATCAATATATGAAACAGGTGGCATAAAAATTCATCACTCTACATGGGAAACTCTCCAGTGCCATCCATCCCATGTTAATCTTAGGGACAAAAGTTGGTCTTGGTTCACAAAACTTGTTTTTCCTCCACAATTTTGAGAACTGCAGCTTCCTTCTATCACCTGCTTAAGCTGTTCTGAAACCTGTGTGCACAAACATGATGGCAAGAGCTACTGTCCATGAAATGAAGAGAGCCTGTGGGAGAGGTATAAGAATAATGTGTAGTAAACACAGTAGTTTAGTTTCATCAAGTAATCTGTGGCATAGGAAAATGCTAATAATTTCCAAGCCAGTAATACACTTACCTTGGACTTCCGGGTAGAGGGCCATGTATAGCAGACCCCAGCGCAGTGTTGTGGATGTTGTTTCAGTCCCAGCAAAAAAGAGGTCCAAAGTGCTATAGATGAGGTTTTTTTCATCAAAACTTGAAGCGGTCTTGTTTGTGTGCTAGAAAGGATAATTTTTATTAAAAGTTCATTCAGAGAGTCTTAGATTGCTACCATACATAGCAGAAAGTTTGAAGGAAAGGGTAAAGAGAAGTTATTTCTAAAGAAGCAGATATACCATTAGTGTCCACCTGCTTCTCCTACTAGAAGTTAAAATAAATTCTTCAACATTCACTGTTTGAAAAAAGTCAAGTGAAGCCACACAGACCTGTACATAGGCCTTCCTTACATAAGCAGGCATTCCACAGGTAACCCAGGTATGATATGAGCATCCATCAAATTATAGCTGGGCAGCAGATGACTGAACTAATTGACCAATCTGATCCGGGATGAGGACAAAGCCCAAAGAGAGGGAACAACAAGACCAATAATCCACTCAAACTCTAGTCCCTTGGCCTACTCCTAGCAGAGACTAGAGGAATAATGATTTTTACATCTACCAATGTAAACAAGGATACACCTTGGCTTGAACAGAAATCACAGTCTGGAGGGAAAACAGGGACCTCTAGAGCAGGGAAGGTGCCTCAAAAGCCCAAGGCGTAAAACTCGGTGGATTAAACCCTGGTTGGCTGTATCATAAGACTGCAGAGTTTGGATACAAGCTACTCATTTAAATACACATTAGCATTTGTTCTTTGAATTAATTATTTAAATTTCTTCTATTTTTAATTATTTCTTTCAGTTTTAGGGGAAATGTGCTTTTAAAAATCATTTTTCTCTTTAATTTCTTTTGTCTCTTTCCTTCTTATCTTGTCCCAAAGTTTTTCTTTATTTTTCATTGTGTGATTTTTGTTTTTTTAAAGTATTCTATTATTCTCCTTGTTCACTCTTCCCTATGACTGTTTTCTAACACTATTAATTTCCTTTTACTTCTAAATAGGATGCCCTATCTCATCACACTGAATTTTAATATTTGAACATTTTTCATTCTCCAGTTCCTAACACCCTCTATATTATAGTTTGTGTCCAGATAGCACTCCAAAGCCTTAAGAAGTTATAGATGAGGCTCATTTTGAAGTGGTTGAATCTAGATTATGCTGCACTGAGTCTGTTCATGGTGCAGTACCAGAATTCAAGGCACTAGGAATAAGGATGTGAGTGCTACCTGCCTGAAGTATCCTGGATAAGATAAAATAGGCAGAAAGAGCTGGGGTTATTCCTTACTTGTTTTGTTACTTTTTGCCCGCCATTAATTATTCACCTCTGTAGAGACATCCTCAGTTCAAGTGCCAGCACCACACACACAAAAAATACTGACTGTGCCAGCTGACTGTGGACTGAAGCCCCTAAAAACTGTAAGCTAGATGAACTTTTCCTTGCTTAACTTATGAACGTTGGGTATTTTGTCTGAGCAATGAGAAAAGTAACTAAAACATTCCAATTTTACTAGCATAATTATTAAGTTCTAAGATTCTCTAGTTAACTAGTAATATTTATGCTATTTTTTTAAAATACTGTTCTGTTGTTAGTAGAAGGAAAACTTAGTAGCTGTCTAGTATTTTTAATGTGGTTTAGGGACAGTACCTTATTGATCCTTAGGGTTTGTGAATATCCAGTTTGTCTTTAATGATATTACAGTTGCTGGTTTTAATACTACAGATAAGGTGACATAGTTTATGCTGTTGTTGTGATACCAATAACTGGATTGCCTAGAGATCATCATTCATTGAGAATACCATGGCCCAAGGGCCAGGGAGATAGCTGAGTAGAATAAGTGCTTATGTGGAAAGCACAAGGTCCTCAGTTCAAGTGCCAGCACCACACACACAAAAAATACTGTGGTCCATTAGAAGAACTGGGTACTACAGCAAATATGCTGCAACCTTTCTCCAAGATAAATGGAGATGACTGCTTCCTGGGCCAGACGCAAATGCCAGTAGTCACAGTAAGAGATATCCACTGAAAAGCAGACATTAACTAAAGAGGTTTCCATAAGAGCAACAAAGCTTACCTCTATAATCAACCCATGAACTTCAATATAATAAAAAAGAAAAAAAATAGAAACAGGAGAATACAAGGCAACAAAATGCCTCTCTAAATTCCAAACGCCCCTAATGGTGGTCCACAGGGTATCAAAGGAGAGGAAACCAAAATATGAGTACATGACATATTAAAAAATACTAGAGAAGATAATAAATTGATCAATGAGGCATTTGGCAAGATTAGAAAAGACATAAGTAAATAGGCAATGAGCCACATAAACAAGATAGTCAGCATGTCTACCAAAGACATTAATAGATAGCTAGCAAGCAAATAAAATGATGCAAAATGTGAATGACAAACATAAAAAATGATTACAATCCATAAAATGGTTACAAATAGAAATTGGAAGATTAAAAATTTAATTGTAAGTTTGGGCAGGAAAGTTGACCACTGTGAAGACAGAATTAGAGGACAGCCCTTTTATGGGTGACTAATTAATGACAGATATCTTAAAATATTAATTCATTATAAAAAAGGATCCAACAGTTCCTACACGATGTAAAGAACACTAATCGAAGATTAATTGTGGTAAACAATCAGCAAAAAGCACAGATATTTAAATGTGTGTTTCCTTAAAATAGTAGAAAAGGTTACACATAAAAGAATTAGAATATACAGAGAAGAGAGGCAAATAGAACCCCAAGTAGCCATGATCAGAAAATAGTTTTTCTGAGACATATCACAGTCAAAATCCAGGAAGTCAAACATAAGAACAGAATCAAGTAGTCAGAGAAAAGTAACAAATCACTTATAAGGATAAACTCATTAAAATTACTGTGGAATTTCCAATACACATCCTAAAGACCAGAGAGCTTGGAGTTAAGGGTTAGAAGCTCTAAAAGGAAATAACATCCAGCCCAAGCTGGTATATCCTGAAAAAAACTATTTCAAAATTGATGGAGAAATAAACCATTTCCATAATAAAGACCATCTGAAGAATTCGTACATGTCAAAAATTTTCCAAAAATTTCCAAAATATTTTCAAGGATATTCTTGTATGAGACAAACCAACAATGTCCAAAAGTCTGATAGAATGAGTATCCCTGGGGTGGGCTTTAACAGTGAAGCAGGAAGAAGGTGACAGCAACAAGAAAATAATGCCAGGACAAAGCAAGTGAATACTTTTCAGTAATAAATCTTAATTTGAATGGTCTCAATTCCCAATCTAAAGCCAGAGAATAGCAGTATGACTCAATAAATAAAAGTCCAAAGGTATGCCATATAAAAGAAACACATTTAAGCAAAAAACTCATGCTCTCCAAAACTCATAGCCCAAAATTATAGTCTAAAATTCAAGGATCTGGTCATCTGGTCCATGATCACTAGACCATTTCACGTTTGTGCAAGACTTCCTATACTTCTTAAGCTAGAGGGCCTCTAGGTCAGGAATGGTTGGTTCTACAAAAGTGAAGTAAGACAGGTCAATTAAATAGGGGTATTGGTATTGTTATGAGGCTAAGAGAATGTGGAGAAGGTTCAGAAGTCATGTGAAGATGTCTTTCAGACTTTCTCTTTCATAAATAGATAACAATTATACATACATACATACATACATACATACATACATACACACACAAAACACCAGCATACCCAACTTTAGGAAGCAAACAGTGGATACAAAAGATCAGATAAATCAGTTAGTAAACTCAGTTAAATTGTTGGACCTCACTACTTCACTACCACAAATAAATCAAATGTTCTATTGAATGCACTCTTAAATAATCAATGCACTACAGAAGAAACCAAACAGGAAATAAGACCGCCTCTACAACTAAACAGTACTTCCAGTGTAATGTACTGGAATGAATGCGACAAGATGATGGCAGTCCTCAGAAGGAAGCTCTATACTTTGAATCTGCATGTTACAACCAAACTATGTACACTAAAGCCTTAGAAAACAAGAACAATCCAACCCAAAACAAATAAAAATAAGGAAAATATAAAGATCACAGTAGAAACCAATGAAATTCAGGTCAATAAATATTATAAAAATTAATTAATTACAGAATTGGTTCTTCAAAATAATAAACAACTTTGACGCTCATAGCCAATCTAAGAAAGGAGAGAAAAATCCACATTAATGCAATTAGAAATGCAAAAGTTGAAATCACAATGAACACTGCCTAAATTAAGATTATTAATAGCTACTTTATAGACATTTATACCAATAAATTAGAGAATTCAGAAGAAATGGATAAATTATTTGATAAGAAATACCAAAGGTGAATTAAAAATATCTAAAAACTTAAAATAATCCTATAGCGGCAATTACAATGAATGACCAATAAAATACTTACCAACAAAAGTCCAAATCCAAGTGGATTAATTGCTGAATTCTACAAAAACTTCAAATAAGATCTAATACCAATGCTAATCAAGCTTTTTAATGAAATTTTAAAGGGAAGGAGAACTTCCAGAATCATTTCTGGAAGCTCTCCCTGATTTCAAAACTAGACAAACGTGCAACCAATGAAGAACTATAGCTCTCTTTCCTTAATATAGATACAAAAAAACTTAGTAAGATACTGGCAAAGAGATTGCAACAAATCATTCAAAAGATTATCCAACATGACCAAGTGGTCTTTAGGGATGCAAGAATGGTTCAGCACATGCAAATAAAAAATGTAACATATATAACCTAAATAAAAGCAAAAAAATAAAATCACATGATCATTTCAATAGATGCAGGAAAAAGTCTTTGTCAAAATTCAGCATCTATTCATGTTATAAACAGTAAGAAAAATAGGTATAGATGGGCCTTATCTCTATCTGATATATTCAGTTTATGAAAACCTAACAATAATACATGGGAAACAAGTGTAATTCTACCTTCTAAAATCAAGAATGAAGGCTGTTCACTACTAGTCCTACTTAATGCAGTACTCAAGACATTAGAAAAATCAATCAGGCAAGAAAAAGAAAGCAATATGTACAAGCAAGGAAAAAGGAAATTCATTATTTGCAGGCAACGTGATTTTCTATGAAAAAGCCACAAAGATATCATGAAAAGTTGCTTAG